CAGGTTTGGTCTGCGTGTGGTGCTTGTCCCTGTCCCCTGGCAGCGCCTCTGTGCTAGTAACAGCTTCACTGAGGCTTAAATGAGGGTTTGTAAGACTGTAACATGCTCCTGTGCAGCCTGCTGCTGCAAGCAGTATGTGTTTAGTGCTGGTCTCTGTCCTGTCACCCCGGTACGTCCTGATCCACATGTCTAGGAGTGGATCTTTTGATATACAGAAGCCATGTGCCTTTGTGTGCTGAAGGACTTTGGTCAGGAAAGTGTTTGGGAGCTCAGGGCTTTGTGTGAGAAGCTTTCAAATCCCCCCTCCCCCGACCTGACTGCCTCTGTCCCTCGTTCCTCCAAGGCCAAGAGCTGGGGCCGTAGCCGAGAGACTGTGGAGTAATGCGACCGTCAGGGACCTGCGTGATGCCTACGTGCGGCTGGCCGGCTTCCGCTGCAAGCTTCTCGGGTAACCATTTCTCCTCGCAGCTTGGATGCCGTCTCGCGGGGACAGAGCGAATGCCACCCTTTCTGGGGTTCAATCCTGGGGAGGGCAGCGAGGGTGAAGTGGGCTTTCCCTGGTGCAAAATGACCCTTGTTCTTACGGAAAGTTCCGAGCCTTTCTCCTGCCTGTGCGTGGGCAGAGCTTGCTTTGTGCAGTGCTGGAAGAGAGCCCCTGCTGCCAGCGTGGGCTGGTGGCTCTGTCGAGGAGAGGGCTTCGTGCTGAGGAAGGGGGACCTGTCAGCTATTGCCACCCCTCCTGCAGCTTCCCCAGGAAACCTGCCCTTACCCCGTGCTCCCACACGTGAGCAAAAAACCGAGTCTATAAGTGCAGGATGAAAACCGCTCCCTCCTTGTCACACCTGAAACGGGGCACCGATGGCCAACCTGTGCTCCTCTGACCCCTCAGACCTGACCCTGGGCTCTGCCTGTGCCCTCTGCCTAAGGCCGTCTCTCTGCTCTCTTTCCAGGCGTGGTGTCCAGGCGCAGCCTCTCTATGTAGGATACTGTGAAAATGAATTCGGTGGGTTTTGAAGGGAGAGTCTCACTGACCTCGGTCGCTGTGCACACAGGAGGAATGATCCCTCTCTCTCAAAAGCTGCTGGCGTGGCAGAGGGACCCCTTCCCGCCCCCAGCTTCTGCTCTTGCTTTGTTGCAATGAACGTTTTTTTTTTTCCTTAGTGTGCACTCTTCACCTCCTTTTCTATTTTCGTTTCTTTAAATGTATAAATAAATGACCCTAAAGAGGAAAAAGGTGCCTTTTCATGCTCAGCTGGGCCTTGGGAGACCGTGCAAGGGTTTTTGTTAGCAGGAGAATGGGTAGGGCTTGCTCCATTGGTGGAGGAGCATCTGGCTGTGCCTCATCCCGGTGGCTCTGGGGCTTGCTGGGTGCCTCCTCAGCTGGGTAAGCTGTGTTTAGTCTCTGCTGCTATCGGGATTTGGCCGACTGATCCGTCCTCATCCTGCTCTGTTGTCCTCGGGGTGGGGAGCTCAGCTCCGGGTCTGCATCCAAGAGGTTTGGTTTGGATAGTATTTGCCTTGGAGAAAAATGGTGCTGCTGTCCCGCAGAGCTGGGACAGTCGGGGTCCTTGTCACTGATGGGGTCGTCGTGCTGGAAACCACGTTCAGCTCGAAGCGGGGAATCTCTCGGGGAGAAATCCTGGCTGATGGGACTGTTGTACATGTGTCTTGGTCTTAAATGAGTGAGAACTGCTGTTACGGCTGGAAACCTTTTACTATTGAACTTTAAATTAAAGATATTGAATTAACTTTGCATTAAAAATATTCAGAAGTTGTCAAGTCTTGCATTTCTTTACCCTCCTGCGAAGGGATACACAAACACTGCTCCTCTGAAGTGCTACATCTTAAGGGGGGAGGAAAAGATTGTGAAGCCCAACCACCCCAGAGCGGGGAAACTTAGCCAGATTTGGGGGAAAGAAGGGTATTTTTCCCCCTACTCAGGGTGGGAGGGGAAGGGCTGCCTTCCTGTGCCCTGTTTTCCTGGGGGAAGATGCTCCTCTGCTTCCTCCAAGTCTGCGTGGGAAACTTGTGCCCCTTTTCTCTGTTGTTTTGGTTGTAAATACTGTCCTGGTCTTGTGTTTAAGGCTGAGCGGAGGGAGCCAGCGTTGCTGATCTGCCCGCCTGTCAGTCCCGGCATGTTTATTTCTCTTAAATTGGGTAACCCAGAAGACCTAAATAATAATAGCTGCTTCTTTTGCTGGGGTTTGATGTGCTGTCAAGTCCTAAAGAGCTCCGAAAGGCTGGTGTAATTAGCGCTCCTTCCTCGCTACCAGACCTGGCACGAGCAAACGCTGATCAGAAGCTTCTCATCCCCGTGAGGACATCTCCTTGTGCTCTGACCCGAGTCCCCGCCGATGCCACCCGGTGTCCCCGTGACATCTCTTGAGGTTGGCTTTGGGAAGCATCGCTCCACGGCACAAACGCCTCGGGTATTTGTGGAGCAGAAGCTTTACCTTCTGGTCCAGGCCGGTGGCCTCCAGCGCTTTAGACCTGCACGTCTGCTCCATCTCTGCGCGGCCACTTCTTGGCTGGCTCTTCACGCAGCCACGCTGCGGGGAGGACAGCCGAGATACACCGTAGTTCTGATCGGATGCAGCGCTTCAGGCTCTGAGGGGGTGCCAGGTATAGAGGGAGGAGGTTATTATCACCTCCTATTTTTAAAAGTTGTCTTTTTCCCTTTTTTTTCCCCAACACGGCATAAATTGGTACCTTTGCCGGGTGCTTTTGTCGCTGCAGGGACACCCGCTGCTGGTGGGGCTGGGGCCGAGGGGGAGGCTGGCCCCGGGGAGGGTGCTCTGCTCCCCGGGCACTGCTCTGTGCCCTGGGATGCTCCAGCGCCGGCGGGGTTGGCACGGGGGGACCCCCCAACCCAGCGTCTTCCGCTAAAGCCTGGTATTGATGATCTGGGTTAAATATCACCCCGTGGTCCTGCTTCCTGGGGGGTCTGCACCAGCATCTCCCCAAAAACACCACCTTGGGGGCGGCTTGGCAACGTTTTCACCCTTGCAAAGGCCGGGATCCCCACCGGTGGGAAGGGAGCACCCCGCTTTCCTCTGCCGCGGCCTCGCCGCGCGGCCCGTTCCTTCCAGAACATCTATTTTGGTCGCGTAAAACTTGCCGGGGAGCAGAGGAGAACAGGCAGCGTGTGAATCACTCGGGGCCAACGGGTTTAAAAATAAACCCAGGCGGCGGCGAAGAACAGCCGCCGAGCCCCCAGATTTCGGCAGCATTACGCTCCGCGCCTCCGAAACCCACCCATGGGTGCCCACCCTGAGCAACATCCCCATCCATTGGGTTTTATTGGGACACACTTCCATATGTTTGCACATCCTTGCATGCACATGCACATACTTGCAGCTGTGTGCACATGCTTGCATGCATATGGGCGCTTGCAAACACGTGCACCCGTGCACATGCTTGCACACGCATGCATACAGGTGCTTGCAAACACGTGCACCCATGCACATGCTTGCACTCACATGCATATGGGCGCTTGCAAACACGTGCACCCGTGCACATGCTTGCACACGCATGCATACAGGTGCTTGCAAACACGTGCACCCATGCACATGCTTGCACCAATGCGCGCACTTGCACACACATGCAAATGCATGCATGCACACACACGCGCTTGCATGCCATTGCACAGGCTTGCAACACAGGCATGCATCTGCATGTGCTTGCGCACACACTTGCATGTACTTGCACGCATGTGCACACACTTTCAACTATGTGTGCACATGTATGCAAGCACATACATGTGCATGCATGTGCTGCAAATGTGCACACACTTGCACACATGCTTGCACAAACTTGAACGTGCATGCACGGGTGCACGCGTGCACATACTTGCACAAGCACATGCACACGCGTGCACACTCTTGCAGACACACCCCCATGCTCACACATGCTTGCACACACCTGCACACGCGTGGCAGCGCGCCAGGAAAGCCGGGCACCCCCAGCTCAGCTGCTGCTCTGGGAGTAATTAATTAACGACCGCGTCAGGTATTAAAGCTGTTCGGTCTAATTACAGATTTTTCGGGGTGGCGGGGGGTGCAGGGGAGGGGGGGGGGGGTCTCCCCCCCCCCCCCCCATCTGGGGCAGCCCTGAGGGGGCAACCGGGGTGGCGTGGGGTCCATCGAGGTGAAAAATGCAACAAAGTGCCAAAATTGTCCCTTTTGAGCCTTTTCTGTGTATTTAAATCCCGCTCTAAGGTGGCGGCCGGTGGCGAAGAG